GGTGGTGCCCGCCGCGGCCCCTGCCAGACCTTGGTGTACCGGACCCCACTGGGCAGCAGGAGCTCCCACAAGGTGAGGGATGGTTCTGCATGGCAAATACATGGGGGCTTGGGCAGGCTTGGGGCGAGGGGGGGCTCTTTGCCAAAACCTTGGTAGGTGCCCGGGCAGCTCCCTGCAAACCCGGGGGTGAATGGAGAGGGATGGGAGGAGGGTGACACCTCTTGCCACCCCTTGCTCCCACCCCTTGCCAGCGAGCACTACACTGGTAGAAGTGTACTTGGTGTCCAGTTCTACTTGACTTCAGTTACCACAAACATGCAGTAAGTAAAAAGTACTTCACTTCCAATTTCAGGGGAAGCACGTGGAGTCCGGGACTGTCCAATTCCATGTTTCCACTGATTCGGAAGAACATGTTGTAACTGCTGCAGAGATCCTATGTAAAGGCAGGGACAAGTTGGAGAAGCCTCCTACGCCGTCGCTGAGTGAGTGTTTTCCAGATCACTGACATTTAAAATATAGAGTGTGGCGCTGGTGTCTGCTTGGGGGGGGGAACGTGGCTCCAGCGGGGTGCAGTGAGCAGCTTGTGAATTACCAGGAGGAACCAAGTTCCCACTGAGTCGAATTCAGCTCTCACTTTAACTTGCAAATGTCCCCTGTGATAGTAGCGCTGCTCCATGTGCAGAATCCTCATGGATTTCCAGCCTCCTCCCGTTCCGGGTCGCTCTGATGACGTTTGGGCTTGTGTGCTCAGCAGCCAGAAGAGGTGGATGGGTGCAGCGCCTGCACCAGTAGCATGTTGCTCTCTGTCAGTGCTGCTGCTCATCCCTCCAGACTTGGAATCCCTCCAGATACAAAGACAGGAGGAATGTCAGTTATGGGGTGAAGGGAAAAAATAATCTCCTGGTGCTGGCAGTGTGTTTCCAGGGAAAACTGGATGGTGTGTGTGTGCAGGGATGCGTTTATCCATGGTGTAGGAGAGAAAACAAAAAACTGGTGTGGGTTTGGGCACGGAGTTGAGGCCATGCCCCTGGGCTCCTGGAAATTCTCTGGCTTGTTTCCATGTAATCCTGCCTGTTGTGATCAGTGGGAAACAAAGCTTCCCTTTCTGCAGCGTTGCTCCTGCTCTGCTTCCCACACAGGTCTTGGTGTGATGCTCCAGGTTCCTGGCAGTGTTTTAAATACATTTATGAGCTTCTCTAGCTCATGGTGAGCGGTCAGTGCCAGCCCGCGGGTCGGGGTGGTGCCGGTGCATGGGTGTCTGTCCCCATGCCAGCTCCAGAGCTGCCGTGCCTTCCACGAGATGGCAGAGTGGCACCATGGCTTTGCTGCAGGGAGTGCTGGCTTCCTGCTGGCGAGGAGCTGGGTCTGCTGGTGGAATGGGCTTTAGAGCACTAAGTTTCAGGTGAAGTGAAGGGCTCTGGGGCCGTGCTGGGTTAGGCTCCCTGTGGCATGGCTGCATTGCTGCTGGTGCCTTCCTGGTGCTGCTTGAAAGGTTTTCCTGGACACCTTTCCGCTGGCAGTGGCCAGGATGGGAAGTTGCAGTGTGGGGAAGGGAGAAGTAAGCGTGCTTCCAGCCCACCACTGGACTGGTATGCTCCAGCCTAGCGTGAATGTGCTGGCGTGTGGATGGGGTGCCCAGAGCGGGGAGATGCCCTAGCAAGGTGACTTTAGGGGATGAGCTGTTGGTGTGTTTCCCTGTCTCTGGGGGACTGGTGGCACAGCCACCAGAAGTGCAGTGATGATCTCATGCGGTGAGTGGCCACAGGTGAGAGCCAGCCTGCATCCTGAACCTGCTGGAGGAGCGGTTGATTAACATTTTGTAGGGCTCTGTTGGAAAACATGCTGCCATCTGGCCCTTTTGGCCAGGGGAGACCAAGCACTTCATCCATCAGCTCAGCTGCTGGTGGTGCTGATGGATCCATCCTTCACCTCCTAACACTGGCCCGAGCCATCCTCGTGGAAAGAAACTGCTATTATAGATGCAAGGCAGGCAGGGTGGTTTCCTTTGCACAGCAGTCAGCATGAAATAGCTGGAATATACACAGTGGTGGAAGCAAAATGAGGTCTCGGCATCACGTGGATGCAGAGATGGAACATCTGTGCCCCTGGTCTGCTCTGCAGGGCCCGCGGCAGAGCGAGCTCATCTGTGCTGGCGCACGAGCCGAGCAGCCAAATCCAAACACGATGATGTTTGTACCATTCTGGGGCACAAAAGGCTGAAGAGAGTGACAAGAAATAAGAGGAGCAATGAAAACCTTAAAGTATCCTCAAACTTTCACGTCTCATTAAGCATCCCGCTTAGGCAGCGCCGCGTGGCCGCAGGGAGTCGCGGCACCGTCTGGGGATGCTGGAGCTGGCTGCCTTTTGCAACAGAGTTAGCCTAATTCCCAGCAAAATAACGGATGGATCTGGAAATGTGCTGCTTACACCCCCCCAGGCAACAGGCTTATTGGAAAAATAAGTCAAAGCAGTGTCTGAGCAATGGTGGCTGCCTCACTGAGCTGGCTTCACCCCTGGCATTCAAATAGGCTGGTGGGAGATTGGAGGGTGCTCAGTGGTGGAGGGTGCAGTAGTGGCAGAGGGTTCACTTGAGCATCAATCCGTCCCCTCTCCGCAGGTCTGCCGGCTTTGCCGACGATGGTGGCCTCCCCACGGGGACCAGGGGTAAGCGCCATGGGCACAGGCGGTGGGTCACGGCATTCCCAGGGGATGTGCTCTTGGTCCTGTCCTCTTTTTCCTGGCTCCTGCAGCCAAGAGGCACTAAGCGTCCTGCTCAAATCCACCTCCTCCAGGGCAGCAAAAACGATCCTGCCTGTAACATGCTGGGCAAGATTCCTGAGCTCCTTTCACGCCCCAGATGTATCTGTAAGGGCAGTTCTGGTTTTTGTCAGCCCAGATTTGCTGGGTACTCTTACTCCCTGGTACATACTGACAGTGATGCATGATTTCTTCTTGTGGAGCTAGCAGGGTTTAAGGAGAGCTGTGAATACCGAGATCCCTCTTTATGCCTTTTTTTCTTCTATCTTGATGCAGGGATCAATGCACACAAATATTTTTTGATGAAATGAAATGCTTCATAAGTCCGCATTAAGCGGTTTGATCTTCCTGCTGCATTTTGTCATCTATTGGCCAGGGAAAGCACAGCAGCTGAAGAGGAAGCAGAGGTGCAAACCCTCCGGCAGCCAAGCTGTGCCACTTCTCAGCACAGCAGCGATGCTGGAGCTGCTTTACCACGGGGGGCTGGGATGGGGCTGCTCTCACACTCTCTGCTCTCCTCCCCAGCTATCGGTGTCCCAGCTGTCAGTGTCCCCACCACGGGCTGGGGGCCGGTCCCTGGTGCCACGGGGCCGTGGCTCTCGGCAGGACGGCAGCATCACTCACCTGGAGGCTGACCTGAGCTCGCCAGACCCGGAGCGCTGTGCTGGTGACCAGTTGCAGGCACTGCCCTTCACCCCACTGCAGGTGCCCATCGCTGCTGTGGGGCTGCAGGCAGGCAGGTGATGCTCAGTGGCCCGACCCCATGCTCCTGTGCCCCCATCGCCTGGCCTGTTGGGGTCCCCTACGTCTGCTTCAGTGCAGCTCACCCTAGTTTGTCCATCAGCTCCCACACGATGCTGTCCCGTGCCTCCCTGGCGCGCTTGCACGCTGCTGGCTTCCCGGAGATCCTGGACCGCAACCAGGAGCCAGTGGGAATCTCGGAGCCGGCGGACCCAGCAAGTTTCAGCCTGCAGCTGGAGGAAACTGACCCTCTGCAAGGGAATGAGATAATCCTGCAGTTCCTGGCTTTTAGCAGGTGGGATGGCAGTGCTGCGTGGTGCCTTCTGTGGGCTCATCCCAGGGTCTTCCTGGGGAAGAGTCCTTCCCAAAATTCCCCCCCCCACTCACTTCCCTGCTTGAACAGGAGAAGTCCATGGAGGCAGAGCCCTGGAGAGTTCTTGTCCTTGATGATGCTCTTGTCCTTTCTGGACTCTCTTAAGTCATACTCCAGTTCGTTTGATTGTGTCCATTAGCCACAATGTGGTGTAAAAGCTACTTAATGCAGGGCTTCTCCATAAATGCAGATGGAGTTGAGAAAGTTGGCACTTACGGGGTGGCTTTGGCTGGATAAAGCTGCACTTGTGGTTTTCCCTGTGCATGGCAGTGTGCTGTGCGAAGGTAAAGTGTTGTCTTTGCTGGGCTCCTCCGTCGCAGCATATGGCAGGAGACAGCTGGAATTACAAAGCTTTTTGGAAAGCCAAGGCAAACCGTATGCCCACTGTCTTCAGAGAAGTCCAAATACTTGTGATGCTGCCAATCATCTCTTGTTCTTTTACCTCTGGGTGTGTGCCAAACACACAAGGAGCTCGTGATGGGGAGGCAGCGCCATGCCATCATCTAATCCAACCCCTCTTTCTCCTCAAGGGATGCTCAGGGCAGTGTGGAGTGGACGTGGCCAAGGACCATCTTCCTCACATTCCAATTCTACCGCTTCCCACCAGTCACCACACCACGGCTGCAGCTGGTCAACACAGAAGGGGGGCCAGCTGCTGGGCTGGCTGTGCCAGCACAGATCCTTGTCCAGGTGAACAAGGATGGGACCCCCAGCACTGGTAAGCTCTGGTTTGAACATCCTTGTGTGGCTGCTCCTCTTCATCAGTCAGATTTGGGCTTGCCCCTGGGCTGAGGAATGGGGTGGTGTCTGCTTTAATAGCAAACCTCTGCTAATATACCAGCATTCCAATTGTCCCATGCTGGAAGTTAAGCACTGGTAGATGGTGGTGGTGTGATTAGCACGTCGAGGCTGCCAGCTCCCACAGCAGCTGAGCACCTTTGATAAGAAAGGCAACACATGAGCTCTGCTCCACTCGGAGCAAGCAGCTCTGATCCTCTTGGCTGAAGACTTTTCTTTGTGTCTTGCTAAATTCTGGTCCTGAGGGACACCACAAGCACTTGTGGCTGATGAAGGTCCTTCTCCATGCAGAGCTGTTAATGGCAGTCAGAGGGGGAGTCTGTACAGACAGTGTTTGTGGAAGGGTGCCAATCCTGGGGGACCTTGGACCTTGTTAATTGACCAACAGGTTCATTAAGTGGAGGAGAAGCGGGTGTGTGGCACACAGGTTCCCCAGAGCAGAAAAACCTTCCTGTCTCAGCTGATGTGCCCGAGGAAGCTCCATGTCCATGGTGATGCCATGTCTTGCAGGACTGCCGGGCTTGCAGCTGAAGTACATGGTGGATCCTGCTTTCCTGCGTGCCGGGGAACAGCGCTGGTTCCTGCGGTACCTGGCCGAGCACAGCCTCCAGATTGACATTTGGGATGGAGACTCCCTGCTCCTCGTTGGGTCTTCTGCTGTTAAACTGGAGGTATTGGTTAAACTGGAAGTCTTTCCCCATAAGCCTCAGGACTGCTGAAGATGGAGACCCCCTCCTTAGCATGCAGGGGTGTTAAGGAAGAGTCTGACTTTTCCTTTGGTCCTGTGTTGAGATGCTGTTGCATTTCCCTCATGTCTTTAGTAATCGAGTTGCTGTCAACTCCTCTGTAACTGAGACTGATGTCAGCCTGACAAGCCCCTGATTGCAGGATTTGTCATCTTCTCCTTGAAAGTGATGGCAGAACGTTGATTTTCTGACTTCCCTCGAACTCCTGCAGTATTCTAGGGCTAAAACCCCAGACTAAGGACATCGAGACCTCTCTACCCAGACCCTTTAACTACCAGGCCTCCCCAGTAACTTGTCACCCCTTGTCCTCAGCCCCTCCTGCGCCAGGGGCAAGCAGCAGTCAGGACACACCATGAGCTGGAGGTGGCCACGACTGAGTACGAGCCAGATGCAACGGTGATGGGCCAGGAGGCTCTACGGCATGGTGCCCTGCGGCCCCTTGGCGTGCACGTGGTGGTGAGGGGCCGTCTCCACCTCTGCCTGGCCAGTGTTGGTAAGAGCCCGCTGCTCACATGGCTGAAAGGCTTGAGTGCTGCACTGGTGCCCTGTGGTACATGCCCTTTGCTGGATACCTCCTATCCCAGCATCAGCCGCTTGCCTGGGTGCCGTGGGCAGGGACATAAGGCTCCTGGTTGTGCTTGTGGTCTCTACTTGGCTGCAAGTGCCAGAACAAGGCAGCGGGGAGGCCGGTGGTGTGGGCACAACACCATGTGTTTAGGTGCCAGCAAACAGCACAGGGCTGAAGGAGGAGTGTGCAGTGCACACGGTTGTACCTGATCGAAAACCGTGCTTGTAAGAACATTAGTCTTCCCAGCACCTGCTGGCTGCTTCTCTTTTATATATTTAATTCCCTGTCCTGTAAATGTGCAGCGACTAAAATCTTATCTTCTGAAGAAAGATTAGCTCCATTAGAAGATATCCGAAATCGTCATTTCCATACTTTGCCTGCAAAGGGATGATAAGCTCCTGGGAAGGAGAATCTGAGATCCAAACCCAGGGAGAGGTTTAACTTGCACCCTGTGAAAAAAGAGGGAGAGAAGAAGCAGAGACGCTGCACCAGGGCAGCAGCCACGCTTTGGTGCCTGCTTGTTTTTCCCTGCATCCTTTCCTTTTAATTTCAAAATGCTGTTGTTAAAAACAGTATTGAAAAGCACCTGAAGGGCGGGGGTGGGATTTGTTGGCTGGGTAAATACCTGTCAGGTTTAGAGCCTTGTCCAGCTCCGCTTGGCATGGCCTTTGCAGATGTCGCTGCTGATGCTGCTCTGTTTCTGTGCTGCATGTTGGTATCTGCTCTGGAGGGAGCGCTGTCGGGCTCACAGAGCATCACTGGCAACCACAGTTTGCTCCTGCTTTAAACTGCCTGTTACAGGGCTGCAGTGAGGGTGACAGTGAAAACTGAATGGCTTCTGCTCACACCGTCTCTGCCTGTGGCAGGTCACCCGTGCGAGGACACCCCAGGCCAGCTGCCATCCCCGCTGCTGTCCCGCTCCCGCATCATGCCCATGCCAGATGGTGCTGGCAACATCCCAGCCGGCAAGTGCCGCCAGCGGTGAGTCCTGCTGGGTGGGTTTGGGTTGATGTGGTTGCTGCTGGCGCTTTGCCCCCCTCCATTGCTCCCCTTCCCAGCCCCGCAGCATCGCAGGGGTCCCTCATGGTGCCACGGTGCTCTCTCCCCGCAGGCGGGCGGGTGTCGTGGGCACGGAGGCTGGTGGATGTGGAT